GAGAACAGATTGAGCACCTAGCTTGTGGATCTAAGTGCTTCTCTTGTTCGTGCATCTTCCAGAGGTATCAAGTTTTGAACTTGCTTATTGTTGTGCTAGTTTTTATTTTGGGTCCATTTTAGGGTTTTTTGTCTGAAAGCTTGAAGCTTTATGAGTTGTTGAACTCCAAAACGTAATATATGTCCCTTTAAGTATATTTAGTGTTTTTATGTCATAAAAATCCAATCTTGGATGTTGGAATCAAGCCGTGCATGAGATAGGAGGTTTTTGAGATAAAGAAGTGAGTGTTTTGGGTGTTTGTGACCTTTCCAGACAAGGAAAGGCTTAAAGTCACTGACTTTATGGAGTAAGTGCTATTAGGGAGTCCAGATCTGGGGATTGGGGTAATGTCTTTACTGTTTAAGACCAAATGAGTAGAAATAGTGAATCGTGGGAGTACGCTGAGCGTAATCATGTACTCCCTACATACTGCCCCAATGTCCCCGATGGCAATTATGGATTTGTGAGTACACTGAGCGTCTCAAGAGAGGCACGCCCAGGGTAACCTCACTGTGGACATTTGGGCTTAGTCAAATTTTGGGCCTTGAGTGTTGGGCCTAGAGTTTGGAGTTGTTGCAATAAAGTCTTCGACCAGAGGATTATATATATGTCCTTTCGGCCCTTGAGTTGGGCTTGCCATTAGATGTGAAAGAGTTGGGCCTCGGGAGAGCCCACTTATTAATGGGCCTTGGTGGGCCCAATGGGTTTTAGATCATTGATGGGCTGCTTAGTGTACTACCTTTAGACCTAATGAGCGAGAGTTGATAATTAGTTCCTAATTGGGATAATTGTGGGTTTAGCATAGAGTTAGAGGCCGGTACGTGGCAACATCGTTTATAGGGACTGTTCATCATCCGAGGTTAGTCTTCTCACTATACTCTACCTATAGTGGTAATTATGTGTGACCATAGGGTCTTATGTGCTTGCTTGATTTAGGCAATTTATGTGTGATATGTGTTGTGTGCTATATTATGTGATAATCTATAGAAACACAGTAGAATTTTAAAACTTTGTTTATCATGCTACTTAAAATCCTTGGATAAATTTGATTCAAAATTTTTGAAGAAGTATTGTGAAGTTACAAGAGAAAATCTAGAATATTGGATAAGTGTTGAATCTTTAGCAGTTATGCACCACGTAAATTGGATGTATGCAACGTTATCTTTGTAGTTCAAATCGACGATATCTATGGTAGAAAACTCATTCACCATAATTTGTTGCGGGATTGGTCGAATTTGATCGATCGATACAAACTATTAATATGACCCGAAACCAGATTTCGCGATTAAGGTTTTGTATAGGACAAGATAACTATGAGAGGAAAGAGGCGATTAGTGTTTAGTACTAGACAAGATAATATGGGTCCATTCCTTTTATTAGAGTAAATTACAACCTTCGTTCTTGTAATTTATTAAAATTTATGACTTTGGTCTAGTTTTTTAAATCCTCTCTAGTTCCTACTTAACTTTCATCTCGTTATCAATTTGGTCCTTATCTTTTACTTAATCGAAATTTGGTCAAATTTCATTTCTTTTAAGATTTAGGGAATGTTTGGTAGGATATGAATTTTTATAAGGCTTTGAATACTTCTACATCTGAATAAAAACATGGTGTTTGGTTAGACGTATGAATTTTTTTGATGAATAAAAATGACCATTTACCTTTATATATTTCAAATTTCAAAAAAAAAAAAAAAAAGAAAAACAAAAACAAAAAACATCCGATTTCAAATTTTAGCAAGTTCATTCCAACCATCAAATTTCAAATGCATAGCACAAAATTTTAGTAGAAAAAAACCAAACACAAGATTTAAGCATAAAACAAGTCTTGTGTCAGACCATCAGTTAAGCAAAACAAGAAACATAAATAAAAATGGTTCTAGCAGAAAACATAATTGTAGAAAAATCTAGGGCAAGAAAAAAGTTTTTCAGAAAAAACTAGAACAAAAAAGAATACATGACGTCTTCGACGAAGGGTTGGAGGGTGGTCCAGGGTGACAGTAGCGGAACTTCAATCTTTCATTTGGGAGGCGGTATAAAAATTTGTGAATAGGGGGGGTCATAGTCAAGATTTTATGTTTTTGAGCTTAATATGTATAAAACTAAAATATAGAGACTACTTTTAGCAAAAAAAAAATCAAGGGGCCACAACCCCCCAACCCTATATAAGATCCGCCCCTGAGGGGTGGCAACAGAAACTTGAGAGGTGGGCACATATGACATAGTCAGTGATTATACAGGGCAGAGAAACTGGCAGGGATAAAGGCTGAAGATGTGAATAGAAAGTGAAGAGGGGAAAAAAGGATATAGGGCATTTAACATGCCTTTATATATATATATATATATATATATATATATATATATATATATATATATATATATATATATATATATATATATATATATATATATATATATATATATATATATATATATATATATAAATGTTTCTCACATCTATTGTATGTTAAAATGCACCAATAACAATTTTCATAGTTATATCCATATTAAATGATATCCATAATTATAATTTTTTTTTTATCGAAACTAATTAAATTCGTCAATAATGTCAGCAATAATATTCTTTAAGAATGAATTCATATCTAGAAGAATGACATTGTATTCTACCATATTCTATTCAACTTCATATATATTTTAGTGAATGTGTCCTGTAACAAAACAAAAATTCATACATAAAAACCTAGATGCGAATTCATTTTAAAAGAAATTATGTTATTGCTGACATTAATGATAAATTTAATTAGTTTTCATAAAAGGAAAATTATACTTATGGATATTATTTAATATATATATATATATATATATATATATATATATATATATATATATATATATATATATATATATATAATTATGGAAAATATTTAATATTTATCTTTATTTAATTAAATAATTATTTAATTTGATACATTCATATTGGTGCATTCTAACACACAATAAATATAAGAAACTTATTAACCTAGTCTTATATATATATATATATATATATATATATATATATATATATATATTATATATATATATATATATATATATATATATATATATATATATATATGTGTGTGTGTGTGTGTGTTGGGGGGGGGGGGGGGGGGTTGTTGAAAAATAAAAATCAAAATTTGCAGCTTAATTGAAAGATTAAGAGGCTACGGAGTGACCTAAAACTACCTAAAACTTAACGAATTCAAAATTATTTTACAAATTGGATCAAACATAGGAATTTAAGTGAAAAAGAAGGACTAAAATTTAATTTATTCTATTTATGAGTATAGAACAATGTCTGAAAATATACATTTAACTTAAAATCGATCGATATGGAAAGTCATGCATGTATCTTGTCATCTATCCAATCCATCCATCATGTATTTGCATGTACACCAGGCTTTACATCATTTCATATAATCTAAATCCCATCAATTACCTTACAACTTATCAACCTAACACCAATCACTATTTATCAATCAAATCCACAAGTGTTATACAAGTAGTTCAACAACTTACAATGTAAAATAATTTGGGAAGTTTGTCATATATATATATATATATATATATATATATATATATATATATATATATATATATATATATATATATATATATATATATATATATATATATATTTCTTAATAGCTGAATAATTCAATAAAAAAAAAAAAATAAGGCTAGAACGGATAAAAAAGAGCACTACGAGATGAGATCACAACACCAACGTAGACCAAGAGGGAAGCCTGTGTTTCCTGCGTTTGCGACAGCTTAACAATAAAAAAGAGATAATTTGAATCTTGGATATGAAAGCGGGATTTGTAGTATGCCAACGTATACACATTAATACAACTATTGATTCTATTTCATAATGAATCTTTAACTATTGCTTCGTAACTTGATTCAGGGGCGGAGGTAGTAGGGGGCTACCGGATGCACCGCCCCCTCCAACCATTTTAATTGAAGTGCAAACATGCCCATGGAATTATAAATTATATTACTTACATATAGGTTGTGAGAAAAGCTCATTCACCTCCTTATGTTTTAATAAGTTTAAAATAATATGGCCTGAATACTTATATCCGATACAATTAATACCGATTGATAATTAAAAGAAATTGATGACAAAAGCTTTGTGTTACAGTGTTTCTTTCAAGTTTTTATTAATAAGATAAGATATATTTTAAATTTAATTGTATTTTAAATAGTTTTTTTAATATTTAATTATTATATTATTATGATTGATAATTTGGATTTTGATAATAACAATAAGGCAATCATAATAATAAAAAAAGCCATAAATTTAATGTCTCTTCTAAAAGTTTAGACTATATTTTTATTGGGATATACAACTATATTTGAATATATTATTAGAACGTTAGACCATTAACCCCTATTATTCTTAGATCTTGACTGAATATATTATCAGAACGCTAGAGCATGAGCCCCTGTTATTCTTAAATCTTGACTTCATACCTCACTTGATTGCTTTTCATTATATCTATACTTTATGTATAATTAAGTTAATAACCTCCATTCGTATCTAGAATTGAATTAAAAATGTTCTTTAAGTGGTAATTATACACATTATAAAGCTATTTATAAACTAAATTTCGAAATTTTTTATATATAAATCTTAGTTGTTATCGTACAACGAATGATAAGACAAACAAGCAATAAGTTGCGTCGTTAAACTTTTTTATATGGTAAAACCAATTTTTTTGAAGACTACATTCATAGATCAATGGATATAACATTACTATGCATGATCCATTGTATTTTATTAAGAAACTTCACCACATCTGGCGCAATATATATATATATATATATATATATATATATATATATATATATATATATCAAATACAAATGATATGAATACGTATTGATTTTTTCATGCACGATTTCTCATGTTTGGTAACCTTATATGTAACAACTTTTAATGCAGTCAATCCCACCATGAAATTGTCTGCCCTCAAACCTACGAGAGGAGATACCTCTGTAAGGTACACACATGCGTACTAGTCGGTTTAAAATAGAGAACAAACATATAATTTTATTTTGTGTTTATATGAATAACAAATACTAGTGAGTTTTATTTTAGTTCATCTCGTACTTGATATTGATATTTGTGGGCAACTTAAGTAGTCGCTTTTTCCGCCGACATATGGGGCTTTTTTTAAGTCACCGACAACAAGAAATTTGCTTCTATGGTTGTGCTAATAGGTGGGATAACATGAGTGATGAGCACTGCCTTTAAATTTCTAAGCACCCATTTTTATATACTTTATTATGTTAGTATAAGAAAAAACATTATATATCATATATAGCGATCGAGGGGAAAAATGGACTAAAAAAAATCAGCAAATACGACTAAGGGAAATGCGATCTTATGGAATAATCATCGCGCTGAACATCTCACCACCATCAATCGAAAGACTGAATGAATTAATTTTGATTTATTTCAACAGTAACAAAAAAAAAAATCAATGCTTAATAAATCAATTGTGGTTTTTAACATAAGTTATCATTTCTAATTTTAATTTTTGTTTTTTGTTTTTTGATTTTTGATTTCAGTCTTTTTTTAACATATCAATCTTTTTTTAACATATCAATTCTAATAATGTGTTTACATTCATCCTTAAAACAATAATCTTGAATTCGTGTTAATCTAATTTCAGACAACCTCATCGATTCTAATTTCTGGTTAATGATTTGTGTTATTATGATTTATAATTCATATAAATTGTAAGTTTTCGTTATTGTTCTTCACTTCTTTCATTGTTACTTTTCTGATCAAAATTTAATTTATGTGTTTTCTTTATGATATTCTTGTCGATAACTTGAAACTTAACCATAACATGTTTTAAAATTGTTGTTGGAGCCTAGAAAACGATTCAAAAATCTTTATCATTGTTGTTAGAAAACGATTATAAAAATGATTCAACATCACAACTAGGTGTTTTCATTTCCTTAATAATGATGCATTTAAAAACTAAAACAAAAAAGTCGCCCTCTTTTACTAACTTTTTTACTATAAGAGCTTATTTTTTATTTTGCATGGAGCCTCAAATTGACTTGAATTGGTCTTTTCTATTCTTTATATTTCGATTACACGTGGCATTCACATCTAACTTATAAGTTATCTTAATTTTAGAGTAATTTTAGGTTATTATGTTTAAAAATCTAAAAAATGGTTAATAACCTAACTTTTCCAAAAGTCCATAATTTTGTGGTTTCAGATAGTCATAATTTTTGTATAGATCTATTCAGGATATCAGAGTGTGTATTGCAGTATTGTTTGTATTGGGCTTGTAATGTGTGAAACCACACATGTGTGTGCGGCCACACACGTGTGTACGACTGCACACTCTTATGCTGGTAGGAGGGGTACTATTTATAGTAATTGAGTTGTGTCAGATGGTACTTGCTTTTTCAGTCAGAACTCTGCAGTGGTTGTACTTTCTCAAGATGTACTTGACATTTACTCGTAATAGATGTGTGCATGCTTGATTTTACTTCTTCTTCTTCTACATTTCACCATAATTGCAATTAACTTCATTGATTACTGAATTGGATCCTTAGATTTGGGACTAACAATTGGTATCAGAGCCAATTTGGTATCAACTGAAGTATTTTAGAGTGTGAGGGTGCAAAAATTTCACTGTTTTTAAAGTATTTTTGATCGAAGACCTGTTGTTTGATTCTTATTTTTAATAGTTTGCAAAAGCTTGAAATCAAGTTTCATAAAAAATCTGAAAAAAAAAATCGAGTTTGCTGCAACTATTTATTTGCTGCCAATTGTTAAGATTTGCTTCCATAGTTTGTGTGGTGGAGCGTATTTTTGAAGTGTGTGCGGTGGAGCGTATTCTTGAAGTGTGTGCGGTTGGTTTTTGCTGTTGAGAAGTGTACATTTGAGTGTGCGGTTACAGTGTACGGTTGACTGTGTGCGGCTGTATAATTTTATATATGATTAGGCATGTGCGGTTGCGGCTGCACACTTGCACGTGTGCGGCTGTGTGTAATTCTGTGTGCGACTGCATCATTTTCAATAGTTTTGCCCTAATAATTTTGTGTGTTGACTTTCAGATTAAGATGTGACTCACCCCGAGCTGTAGAGAGGAAATGATACTTTGGATTTCAAATCCATTGGTCCAAGTGCTTTTGGACTAATGAAACAAAAGAGAGGCGGGAAGTTTGTATTTGAAGGAAAATTTCCATTAATAAAATTTGGAATTTTTAAAGAGAATGATAGAGAAGAATCAAAAGAACAATCCATGCCAATGGAAAATGAAGATATTTTCACTCTCCCTCCGAGCCAGAAGTGGAGGAGATTCATGACTCTCCCACAGCTTGTGTACCTGATGAGCATGATCTTTAGAAAACAAATGAATCAAAATCTTCTCGAGAGGATGATGACGATGATCTTTATGATGATGTGGAGTTTTTAAAAGAAATTGACTTTACGGAAATCAATGACGACATTCCAACAAACATAGAGTTTGATCTTGGTGATGAAGATTTTGATCCTTTTCTTGATATTCCCAGCAGCCGTGTTAATAAAGTCAATAAAGTTGCTTCTTTAGCAACCAAGACTAGAGATGAAGGAAATGTTCTCAAGATTCTACTCTCTACTTCAAATCCCTTGGAGGTTGCACAAAGCCAAGGAGATGTGACATCAAAGATTCCTCCCTCTGTGTCACTTGTCTCAACTTCTGCTCCAGTCATTTCTGATTCAACTGAACCTCAGACTTCTCATACTTCCATGAAAACAAGCCAATCTCTTGCAAGTCTGGAGGTACCCGTTGTAAGATGTGCACCTCAAGTTCTTTCAACAATCACTGTTACCTCTGCTCACTCTCCTCCAAAGCAAACAGATGAAGGTCCGAGTACCATGTTTGAGGCTGGTGGATCCTCATCCATTCCAGAATATTCTCTAACTCGACCTTCACTAGATGAAGCTTCTATTAGATTAGTAAACCATCTGGCTTAATCTAGTCCAACTTCCTCATGCGGGAAAGGAATATCATTTAAGGAGGGTCGGACAGGTGATGATAAATCTTCTTCGCCTGATCTTCGAAAGGAGATTGGGATTCTCCGTCAACAGCTCATCGAAAAGTCAATTCAGATGGATCAGCTTTCTGCATACATCTTTGAGCTCAAGGCGAAGGATGAAGAAAACACCAAACAAATTAATGATCTATAAACGAGTCTTGGATCTGTACTAGCTAATTATTTCAATCTCAAGAACGTTTTGTACGATGATTTTGGTGAAAAAGTCAAAGCCCTCTTCCAACAGCCTCATGGAATAGCTGATCCTCCCACAGTTCAATCACCTCCTACAACTGATGATCTCCCTATCAACCCACCTACTCCAAGAACAACTACAATTGTCAATAGGTTTGAAAAAGAACTAGAAGGAAGCAGAGCTAGAACCACAATCAAACACGGCAAAAGAATCGTAACTGCAAATCAAAGCGAAGGCCTTTTATTCATGAAAAAATTCTAATGAAAATCGCAAGGCAAGAGACCCTGTTTTGACGGTAACGGATTTGAAGAAAAGAAAGTTCGGTGATGAGTATGGTGACAGGATAGGTATCCGAATGTGGGCCTTTGATCCAGAGACGAATTTGTGGGTTGTAAAGCGAAATTCAAGAGCATCTGAATGTTACAAAAGCACCCTCGATTTCAATTCTTGGACCAAAACTGATCTAGCCGAATTATCCAGGGCCCCATTCCATAATCCCTCCGAAAATCCCAGTGCTTCTAATTTCAAAAGGTTTCTCGACAGATAGGTCAGAGAAAACTTTCCATCAATGAAGACTGCAAGAGCTCTATATAGAAAAGACAAAGATGTCCTTGATCCGGAATCAAGCGAACCCATGAAGATCATACTCTGGCCTGCAACTAAGAAACAAAAGGAAATTCCTATTCCTCAACATTTTCATGAGGGATATCTGGATAATATGGAATTTTGGGCCTATGATGACGAAACTGCAACTACAGCTATCAAATTCAAGGATCGAGAACACGTTTTGAGATTGATTAGTGCCAAAGATCTTCTTCGTTTCAGAGAAAGGGATATACGGACTCTGGCTCGTCATCAAATCATTTGCAGAAAAGATATCATGGAAGCTACTGCTAAAGAATTCACTGCAATGGTGGCTACGATCATCAATGGAAGAATGTGGATGGGCTCGATGGGGAGATCGGATCTAAGGCTGTTTGAGAAGACTGCTGAAAAGCCAAATGAATGAAGTTCAAGACTATGCTAGTCTCAAACCAGGGGAGAGATTGAAAGTCCATAATTTTGTGGTTTGAGCTAGTCATAATTTTTGTATAGATCTATTCAGGATGTCAGAGTGTGTATTGCAGTATTGTTTGTATTGGGCTTATAATGTGTGCAGCCACACATGTCTGTGCGGCTGCATACTCTTATGCTGGTACGAGGGGTACTATTTATAGTAACCGAGTTGTGTCAGATGGTACTTGCTTTTTCAGTGAGAACTCTGCAGTGGTTGTACTTTATTAAGATGTACTTGACATTTACTCGTAATAGATGTGTGCATGCTTGATTTTACTTCTTCTTCTTCTACATTTCACCTTAATTGCCATTAACTTCATTTATTACTGAATTGGATCCTTAGATTTGGGACTAATATTTTCAAATATAAAAAAGCTATTGACACTAACATTTTCTATCAAATATATTATTTATTAACAATAAAAAAATTTGTTACCCACGTTCATTTCCAAGATCATACTTCTCTCCCGTCAAATATACATTTCATATTTCTTTAAACACAATGGTAAACGAGATACGAGTTAAAAGTCAATCTACACTTTGTTTTTGTTTTTAATTGGATTATTTCTGTCGACTACAATTAATGATTGTTAAAAAGCATTGATATTGAAATTAATTATGTTTTTTTTTTTTTTTCAAATAGAACAAAAGATTGTTCTTGTATTAAACTTATTGTATTCACCCATGTTTAGGGATGTATTCAGAGGACATATCGATAAATAATGGTTTAATGATAAATTGTAGATGCATATCAAAATGATAGGTTTAAAGATCGATATATATGATCTATTTATTTGTTTTTTATAAATGTTCTTTTAGTGTGAAATAAGTTTTTTGCTAACCAATGTTTAAATTTAATTCTTTTGTATTTTATCCATTCAATCGAGAATATTATATGTTTGTTGTAACGGATTTTCTTTTGGAGTGTTCTAGACAGGGTGGGTATTAAAAAATAAAATATCCTTAAAGGCTCAGGACGAACAAGAAAAAATGGTCCGTATCTTTATTATAATTTTATATTTTTAAATAAAAATATATACTAATTTTTTTTTAGCCCTGTATAGCTGCCCACTTTATTATAATTTTGGCAAGTATGATTTTCAGCATTGTTCAACAACACATGATTTCACAATTAAAGAGTTAGGCGAACATTCAAGATTTAGTCATGAAAACATTCGGAAGTAATGCCTTGATTTGAGAAATTCATAGTAATATTGCGAATATTATGTTGGATACAAAACAAATAACTTAAATATAGATAATAAGAAAATATTTATTTGGATCTTACTTAATTAATAAAATGGATTACATATATTTTCGTATATTCTTAAATCATTATTCCTTTTTATGTTATTTTATATTTTATAGTTTGCTATCAACTAGTTTGACGTAACAAGAGAATGTAAGCCATCCTAAAGCAACCGAGATAAGAAGCAATACTATTCATAGATGACTAACACAAGAATCAAAAAATATCTACTTTTTCGGAGGCGGGAGGAATGACGTAAACAATGACGTAAAGACATTAAAAAACCATTATTGAAGACACATGTCCTTTCAACGTGGAAGGAATTGTATTGTTATTTTTATGTAATTAAATAGAAGTGTCGGTAGGATAATTATTAAGTGTCGGTTGTATTATTTGTAATGTAACATAAAGTATATAATCCTCAATAGTCTAGGGGGCTATAATGTAAATATGTGTTTCGTTTTGCAATCAAACGATTGCAACCCAATTATGTAATCGGCTCCTTCGAGCCTATAAATAGGGCCTTCTCCCATATGAAATAAACAAGTTAAGTTTGAGTGTTTAAGACTTGAGTTGATCTCAAAGTTGTTCTCTATTGAAATAGTTTGTCTATTTCTGAATAGCAGAGCCCTATCCAAACTATCCACATAAACATTCAATTATTCAACACAATCTATCATCAAGACAATCCAACACATCATTCAGGTATAATCTTATCCTAATATTCATTTATCCGTCATGTTGTCAAAAATGTTCATAACTATATTTGAAAGAATGATTTGGCAAGTATGATTTTCAGCATTGTTAACCAACACATGATTTCACAATTAAAGAGTTAGGCGAACATTCAAGATTTAGTCATGAAAACATTCGGAAGTAATGCCTTGATTTGAGAAATTCATAGTAATATTGTGAATATTATGTTGGATACAAAACAAATAACTTAAATATAGATAATAAGAAAATATTTATTTGGATCTTACTTAATTAATAAAATGTATTACATATATTTTCGTATATTCTTAAATCATTATTCATTTTTATGTTATTTTATATTTTATAGTTTGCTATCAACTAGTTTGACGTAAACAAACATGCTTCAATCTCCAAAAGTAATTTGTTCATATTAAATTCAACTCCTAATGTTAATTATAAGGGAATAGAGTATCTTAAACTTACAGATATCAAGTGGGCATTAAATGTATCCCTATGATAGACTTATTTATCAAATCCGTAGCCAACATTTTTCACAAGTGATCATCTGGATTTTTTTTTAGATTGAACAAATTCAAATTAAATGATTTAATGAGTTATAAGATCACATAACATACTATGTCTAACTCCCAAATGTCTCGACTTTCGATTATACACTTGACTGAATACATTTGCCAGAGTAGCAAGACTATCATCGTGTATAAAAATGGGGGAAATTGGTTTTGACCATAATGGAATCTAATATATCAAATCCCTTATCCATTATGCTTCTTACCAGTAGGTGCAAGGCCAACGAATTCAGATTATATAGTTGAATATACTATGCAATTTTACTTTTTAGAGTCTCGTGATATTGCACCTCCTCTAAATAGGATAACTCAACAACTTGTAGATAAGTGGTCCTAAATGTTGGTAAACCAACTAATATTAGTATATCCTTTTATGATAAAAAGAAATCCCACCTAACTAAAACAATGGTCGATAGTGTTCTTAAGATACTTAAGCATCCGGCTTATTGCTTAGCAGTGATGAGTATTTATGTTTCTAGTAAACCTTCTCAACTTTTCTATAATAAATTCAATATCAGCCTTATGCTATTCATGTTATACATCAAACAACCAATGACCTTTACATGTTATTAACTTAATTGATATATTTTTAGATAAAAATAAAACTTTGTAAATAGTCCTTGTGGTTTTCCAAAATATGGGATATACTTCATAACTTTAAAAATAATGCATAGAAGGTCTATGTGGTTTTCAATTCCTATCGTGGTTGGTCCTTCACCCACATAAAAAAGACTTTTATACGTTTTTCATTTCTTTTAGAATTAATTTTAAATAAATTTATTTAAAGAAAAGAAAAACAAAACAAATAAACCCACATTGGACCCACCTCTTTCTCTTTCTCTTTCTCTCTCTCTTTCTCTCTCTCTCTCTCTCTCTCTCTCTCTCTCTTTTCGTCTCTATCTTTCTCTTTATATATATATATATAAACAACCCATATTAATGATCATCCTCAGCTTTTAATTTTCCAGTTTGCATCATGATTTTTCAATCTCTTTATTCTTATTTCTCTCCCTTAAGTTTCATCATCTTGATTTGTATCAATAATATATCAAACAATGTACACTTGAGCTACATTTCCCATTTCTCATTATAAACCCTACAATATCGCCCTTACCTCCACCTCAAAATCCCTCTTGATTCCAAAGCTGAAAACAATCAACAAAATGTTGACTCTGGTAGCCGAATATAGGATATCATAGGTTATCCCTCCTATTTCAAGAAACAAGTCAAGACCATCTACCATCCTCTTCAACATACCAACTGAACCTACTTTCCTAACAAATAAAATCCACACACATCACTCATACATACACAGTGAAAATTGATTATGCAGAAATTGATATAAATAAAACACCTTGACAAATTGGCTGGTGGGAATACAAGAATCAACACCTAAGTTAGGCAACATCGTATGTTGGTTGCAGTATTTGACAAATACAAATTCCCTAGAGAGTGGTTGACTTCCGGTGGACTAAGACCCACGAGGGTTGGCCTCCCTCCTGCCACTAGAGCGCTATTGGAAGACCTGATTCCATAGTTGTTGACAATGATGGTGATGGAAGCTTCATGGTGAATGTTTAAGAACTCGCTACCATTAGAGTGGGAAATCTTCCATTGAAGATTTTATTATTGAACACTCAACTTTTGGCTATGGTATTTCAATAGGAATATCATTTTTTCAAAGAAAATCGAGCACATGCATATCTAGAAAACCCATCGAAAGAATCAGAACTATTCCCTAATTAATAGAAGCATGTGATAGACCAAATCTTAGGTTAAGCAACTAAAATAAGAATTAGAACGTGGAAGATTGCATTTGGTGACCATTATCTGCATAGATTAACTTTCATGACCATTGAGACTACTTGCTAGATTAAATATGGCATAATTTCAACATATAATTGATTATTAAGATAGCTACAAAACCATTATACTAATTGTTTTTTATAATTAATTGTT